CGTTGATAATGATAATAATGAGCATACTGGTGTGAGCATAGATCATACGGATGAAATATGTCCAGCAACCGGCAGCCCCAAGTAATTTTCTTTTTTCTACGTCAATTTTATGGCTGAGTATTGGCAATAATGCACGAAATAGTCTTTTTTTTTGGTAAAATTACTCTTTGTTCATTAAAAGTAGAGCGTGCGTCACACTTTTGAAAGACACAGAATGAACTCACAAGTGGACCAACCTCGGTTTGCCTCTTTTCCCTTCTCTCATTCCAAATCTCGGTTTGTCTTCCATTTCTTCTTTTGCCAGCTTTCCCTCTTCACATTTAGTCCAAACTTCACTTATTCCAACTTCTTTTCACTTATTCCAGGCGGTGCATTTTATTTAGCACTGAGGGTAGTGCTCTTGAAAAAATAAACGGCTACTAAAGTGACCTCCAGTTAGTAACTTTTAAACTTCTATGCAGTTCAAATTCACTAAGCTCCGAGATCCATCATTCCAGATGCAGTTAGTAACTTTTAAGGGAGAGGTTATTTACGAACAAATGATTGGTACTAGCTGACCACCAAGCGTACAGATCACCATCAGTCGCACTGTACAGTTGTGCTTGGTATATAGGAGCGTTGCAGAACCATCACTAACATCAAATTCTCACACCGAAAGTCCGGACGGTCTTAGTAGTCCTGGTAAATTGCCTTATCAAAGCTTATCTGATAAAACGCGAAGACTCTTAGCTCAGAGTTATTGATTGGATTTGCTGAGTGCATCTGTATTACGGTGTTAGCCCGTCCTCACTCTTCAATTCTTAGGTGTACAGTCTCTTCCGCGGTTTTTTGGGTGCCTAGTTTTGCAAATACCTCTTTTTCGAGATTTTTCTAGGCTATTTGAGTCTTTTTGAATAATGTGTTAGCGCACAATTTTACTATCAAAATTTAAGAAACTCATTTGATGTCGTTCGAAGTTAATATGGCTTAATGGACCGAAACGTCGTAATTCACAATTTCTACATTCATTCTTGCCTAGTTTGCTCCAGGCCTCCGGTTCCTAAGCTCCTAGTATCAACTTGTACGCTACAATCAACTTAACATTGCGGAGTTACAGCACGCACCTGGATACAAACTACGGATTTCGCAAAGTTCGAGCCGTTGCTCAAAATTACACGATTGACACATCACGAGCGAAAACGAACAAACAGGTCGTCTCACTCTGCGCTGCAAAACTTGGCCTTCAGGAGGTCAGCCATTCGCATATTGTAATACAAGTTTGCATAGCTTCCGATAGGTATGAGGGGAAGGGAATATTACTTGTTTTGGTACTACCGTGACACAAAAATTCCGCCCCTTAACCTAATTTTTCCCTCGCATTTGGTATCACACCAGCGTTGAGCGAGTGACGGCTACTTTCAGTTTAAATTTATGGATAACGCATTTTGCTGGCCTTACTAACAACTGATGGACGCTGCGTATTGGCCAGTGACGTCTTCGAAAAAGCAAGCCACGAACTGAGCAGCCTTTGAAGAGATAACGTAAATATTTCAAACACGCGGTGGGTACTAATCTGAGTTGTAAAAATTAGAATCAGAGGGCCTGGCATACTTAAACCCGATGAATGGAAGCATACCAGTGACATTTACTAATTTGGAATTTCTAAACCGATTGTCCAGTGGCCTTATATTCCTGATAGTTTTAAAGTACAAATGAAATGCCGAGGAACATAAATTTAGTATCCTGACGGACGAGACGATGGATGTGCGTGCGACATCTATTGGCATAACGTGAATTATCATGATGTAAATGCATTGATCAAAAGTCCTCGTTCCAAAATTAACAAATTTCCAGGTTTAATTTTGAATCGATTTTTGCAGCAATTGTGAGCAAAGCCCTGATTTTTAAAGAAAAAAGAAAATATCGGACTGGACGCAAATCTCATCTTAAGTATTTTATTATCGGAAATAGCTCAATTTTATGTTTATTACCGGAAATAGGAACACGACTAGACAGCCTATCGGCTCCAATTTTTAGCAATAAATGCTCCACGTCTATACATCCATCATAGGGCGAAAGGGTGATGAGGCTGAGAAGTTCAACACCGAGCATGAATTAACTCGCGGCATAAAACTCACACATCCGACTGTTATGGGCACATTCAATGCAAAATTTGTGGAAAGTGGGAAGTTTTTTGAGCACAGTGTTAAGGCACTATGAACAAAATGAGACATATCCTTCCCCTCTCAGAATTACTTATAAACAGCCTCACGATTTTTCGCAGTCCATAATGAAAAGATGCCTTGAGCATCACTGGCGAGCAGCTAAATCACTTGCGCCTCGCAGATTACAGCAGTGAAACTTTATACGTTTCGCAGCCTTTTGTAGTAACTGAAATTAACAGTTCCTCAGGTATGTCCGATTTATCAAAGAAAATTTCTCTTACACGAGCAATTTCTTCGATGCGCCAATTATTCCCGCACGAATATCAATTTTATCCATCAAGCTGGTTTATTCCGGCTCAATTTGACGCATTTGTTGAGCACTGCAACAGCTCAAGGCATACTGCTTGGTATATTGTTAAACCAGATGATGGTAAGCCAGTTCAGACCGCACACATTAGACGTAATGTGGTCGGAATTTTGTGAGCATGGGAAAGTTTTTCGTGGAAATTCCCGGAATTTTCATGAAAAACATTTTTATAAAGGGAAAGAATTTTACCTCACAAAAGGGATTTTTCCTTTTAGACAGAAGAAAATTTTTCCTTATAAATTATACGGAAGCGTCTCTGAATATAAGGAATTTTTTACTTTTAATGGAAATTCAGGAAATCCGTTCCAGTTTTTAATGACAAAAAGGATTTGACCATTTTCTTTCTAGTGGTAACATACTTCACCGCAGTTTTGAGTGAAAACGTTTGAATCGGATTGGTGGTACACTACTATCATTTTAAAACGGCTAAAACCCTAAAAAAATAAACTGTTCTTATCTGAGGAGTCGCTGAGCAGGTAATTCCTTCAGGTGATTGAACGATGTCAGGTTTGCCAGCAGACTGACCTAGTAGCTGACTGACCCAGCAGACTGACCTAGTCAAAGCAACGAAGAAAGTCGCCAACTGCATAATTAAATAAATGGCCAACGCACGGGCTGCCTGTGCGAAGATGCGTTTTTTGCGGAGTTCCCCGCAGTTTTGTCGCTACCGGCATCGGTTTTTTCGGCAGATGCTTCTATCTGGAAGAATTTCAGACTGACCGCCAGGACTGTCAGGAAACATCCCCTCAAAATTCAAGTCTTCTAGCTCCTCACGTTCTCGAGTAAGTAACTTACCCCAAAGGGACTTTTCACGGGCCTACACATAGGTACCACGCTTACCCGCGGGCAGGGTTTGAACTCGTTAATACCCACTTAGACAGAGAACACCTCCCTAAGGTTTCAGCTCTCTAGATTCTCAGAACCCGGAGTTATGAATTTACGCGGGAAAAATTTTGGGGGACTCGTACGCGGGTACCACGCTTACGCGGGGGCTGGATTTGAGCCCATTAGCACCTGCTTGGGCGGGGAACATTCCCCTAAAGTTTCAGCTTTCTAGCGTCTCAGAACCCCGAGTTATGAATTTAGGCGGGAAAAATTTTGAGGGGCCCGTACGCGGATGCCACGCTTACCCGGGGGCTGGATTTAAGCTCATTG